GATTAAAGTTGACAGTTATATCAATATATTGAAATGAGTGAAGGATCACTAAAAAATATGATGGGGGTAGTAAGTATGCTTTTGATTAGAATTTTCAATTTCATGTCTTTAAAATGAAATTATCTTTGATAAGAATTATATTGTAATTAAAGTGAAATTTTTTGGAAATACATGACAACAAAACATGAGGTTTTTTGGAAACAAAAGAGTATTCGATGAGCATACTAATATAAAGAGAATGTGAAAAAGATGTGAATGAGCACCATATGTTTTTTTGTGGTGAGGTGTTATGTAGCATTCCATTTATAGCTAAACTTATTGATTGAACATCCGAAATGTAAGTTGCTTTTGATATGAAACACTTTAACTTTCGAAACAAGGCTTCCTAACTCGAATATGAATTAGTCCGTCCCTCAAATAAGTATTAGAAGCCAATTAAGAACAAAGAAAAAAGAAAAAAAAGTTGTAAATGTACTTCGATGAAAAAAGAAGAAATTTTATAAGGTGAGAGAGACTCGAATTCTCTCGACCTTAGGAAGGGCTCAACTTCAAATCTCAAAATAAAATCATACACTATTTAGTAGAGAACACTTTATCCTTAAAGTAAGAATTTCCATTATGAATAATTAGTTAGGAATGAACTAGATACCAAATAACCAAACGAGAAACAAAAAAATAATCTAAAAATATATAATGATAGGAAACACTTAATAATCAAAGTGAGAATTCAGCACGTGAGTCTAAATAAGTTAAAAATACAAATAGGTACCGAATATCGTATGACAAGCGGCAAAAAAATAAATACGAACATGTATTGAACATCGAATGAAAAACAAAAAAAAAATATAAACATGTATCGAACATCGAATGAAAAATGACAAAAAATACAAACAAGCATCGTCATCGAATGAGATCCCAAAAAATACAAATAACTACTGAACATCGAATGATAAATGACCAAAAAATACAAATAGGTATCAAACATCAAATGAGAAATGACAACAAAATACAAACATGTACCAAACATCGAATGAGAAATGGTAAAAAAGACAATGGGGTGAGAGAGGCTCGAACTCTCGACCTCAGGATTACTCAGAAGCTATAAGACCTACGCGCTAGCCAACTGCGCCACCACCCCAATTGTTCACAAATTATCACAAATGATTATGTAATCCTAATTATAGTCAAAAACTTTGTCATAAAACGACACCGTTCTTGCTCTATCTTCTAACTTCTTACATGTCTAGGGTTTTTCAGATCTTGCCCTCTTTCATCACCAAGCAAACCCCTCATTCAGGTACTAATTTTTTTGCCCATTCATAGTTTTTTTTTTTGTGAAGTATTGTTCTCTTGTTTATAGAATTCTTTCTTTGATTTTACCCAATAAATTGATTATTTTTTTAAAAAAGTGAGAAAAAGGGGTAAAGATGGAGTCTTTTTAGTGTTTTTTCAACTGGGAAGTTACAAACTTTTACTTGAGTTAAGTTAGTAAATCTTGATTTAAGAATGGAAGTTAAGAACAATGGGAAGTAGTGTTGTGTTAAAGTAGTTTGTGCTTTATGTTTTACAACTTGTACCTTGTATTTGTGATATACTTGCTCTTTTGGTTGCTGCTTCACGCTTTGAATCAAATCTTGTTTATGCTGTAATGTGTTTTTCGCCCTTCCTATAGTTTTTTTTTTTCACTGCAAGTTGCAAACTTTCACTTACATTGGTTATGAGTTGAGGTTCTTTAGTTATTGGGTTTTTGATTAAGAATGGAACTTAGGAACAATGGGAATTAGTGGTATGTGAGAGCAGTTTGTACTTTATGTTTTACAGCTTGTACCTTGTATTTGTGATATACTTGCTCTTTTGGTTGCTGTTTCATGCTTTAACTCAATCTTGCTTATTCTGTGATGTGATTTTTGCCCTTCCCATAGTTTTTTTTTCTCGTAAGTATCATTCTCTTGTTTATAGAATTCTTTCTTTTGATTCAATTTTGTCTATTTGCCCTGTAAATTGAAAAAAAAGTGAGAAAAAGGGGGTAAAGATGGAATCTTTTTAATTTTTTTTCAACTGGGTAGTTACAAACTTTTACTTACCTGAATTATGAGCTAAGTTTCTTTAGTTACTGGTACAACAACAACATACCTAGTGTAATCCCACAAAGTAGGGTCTTAGGAGGGTGGAGTATATGCAAAGTGAAGAGTCTTTTTCCAATAGATCCTCGGCTCAATAAATTTTTTGTTATTGGGTCTTGACTAAAATGATTAAGGATTATAATCAAGGGTCTTAATGGAACTTATGAACAATAGGGGGCAGTGGTATGTTAGAGTAGTTTGTACTTCATGTTTTACAGATTGTACCTTGTATTTGTGATGTACTTTTGGTTGCTGCTTCATGATTTAACTAAATCTTGTTTATGCCGTGATGTGATTTTTGCCCTTCTTATATAGAGTTAATTTTTTCTTATAATCGTGCTTCCAATTCTTCTTTTCTCTTGAGACGAGAGTCTATCGGAAACAGCCTCTCTACCCCCATAAAGGTAGGGTTAGGTCTGCGTGTATCTTACCCTTTGCAGAACCCACTTGTGGGATTGCACCGGGTATGTTGTTAGAGAGTTCAATTTTTCCCGGATTATCATTCTCTTGTTTATGTCCATTTTACTAATTTCTTTTCTTTGATTGAACTTGCCCCTATTCAACCCATAAATAGAAAAAAGTGAAAAAAAAGGCAAAAAGTGCTATCTTTTTCTTTTTTCTTCATTGGGAAGTTGCAAAAATGCTTTAGTACTCGAATCAAGGTTCGTAGGAACTTATCAAATACAATACAAGAGAACAATGGAAGGGAGTGGTGTGTAAGATTAGTTTTTACTTTTTACAGCTTGTACCTTGTATTTGTGATGCGCTCTCTCTTTTGGTTGCTGCTTCATGCTTTAAGTACTTCTACAAATTCCATTATTTGCTCAACAATTTAATTTCTTAGAATTACAATCATTAAGTCAATCTTAATGCTGTGATGTGATTTTTGCCCTTCATACAGAATTCATTTTTTTCAAAGTATCGTTCTCTTGTTTATGTACATTTTGTTTGTTGCCTTTGTTTAATTGAAACTTGCCCCTATTCAGCCCTATAGATGGGAGTAAAAGTGAGGAAAGAAAAATGCAAAGATGCAAATAATTTCATGTAGAATAATAGTTGCTTGTTGGACCAAATTCTCGTGTGAATTCGCGGAGCAACAACTAAATGGATAACCTATGCATGCATGTCTCCTCTCATATATTGTGAATTTTGTTTCTTCTTGTTTTGCCATCTGCATGTAGTAATTCAAGACTAATAAAAAAATTCTGAAGATCTAATTTTAACTTTTCTGGAAAAAAAAGTCTCAGGTGAATTTTCCGACATGGCTATCGTCAACGATGAACGTGAGTTTGAGGAAGAAACAACTCATGAAGAACTCCAAGAGTTTGACGAAGATGAGGAAGTGGACGCCGAGGACGATGATGATGATGATGATGACGGTGACGAGGAGGAGGAGAAAGAGGTCATACAGAGCTCTGGCAGTGGTCCACAAGTTCACTCTATAGACGATGACGACGAGGACGATGAGGACGATGAGGATGATGAGGACGATGAAGGCGACAGTGATGATGATGATGATGATGACGATGACAACGAAGATGATGAAGATGAGGAGGAAGGTGAAGAAGAGGAAGATCTGGGTACGGAGTATCTTGTTAGGCCAGTGGCACGTGCTGAGGATGAAGAAGATGCTAGTGATTTTGAACCAGAAGAAAATGGCGAGGAAGAGGCTGTTGAGGAGGAGGAGGAAGAGGACGATGATGAAGACACTAGCGGGAAGGTGGAGCCCCCGCCAAAGAGGAAGAGATCAGGCAAAGATGATGACTCTGATGATGATGGTGGCGGAGAGGATGAGGATGATGAGAGACCATCTAAACGATAGGGCTTGGCCCTATCTAGTATAGAGGTCAATCCCCCTATATGTATGATGATGGTTCTTGTAGTCCTTAGTTTTAATCACTGTTGGGATTATGACACCATTTTAGTTTAGTTTAGGTTAGTTTAAGAACTTTGGTTCAAGTTTTTTCTTTTTTAATTGTATGTGTTGGTGTTTTTAGTTGTTAAACTCTGTTTAGTCTGCTATTTTGGTGCAAGTATTTATATATGGTGGGATTAGTTTAAACACTGTTTTAGTTTCGTTACCTATAATCATTATTATAAAAAAAATCAACTTTTATTGGACAAGTTAGCAGCAAGTATTTGAATCTTTGAATTTTCCTACTTTAATGTTCTAGGTCTTGCCTGAGTTTCTTTACTCTTCTTGTTTTTTTCTTTGGGTAATAGAAGGCTAATATACTAACAAGGGTTGTGGTGGAGCGATAAGTATTTTTCATCTTTAATTAGGGTTTTGGGTTTGAGTTCCCATGGGTACAAAGTTACCTTTGTTAGGAAGTGTTTTAGCCCACGAATTTAGTCAAACTCTAATGTGGGGTACCGGACATCGAGTCGGACTAATATATCAAAACTTTAAAGTTACGAAGGGAGAATCAACTGATGCTGAGTAGCATACTGTGTTAGTATGAGTGGTTGAGCACTTGCACCATCGAGGGTTCGAGTCATGCTGGAGCAGAAGTGGGAATACTATTGATCTTTTTGTATTTGTTTTGGTAAATACATGTAATTGTTAGTCAACACTGACTGCATAAAATGAGGTGAGGCTCAAGCTGGTACCAAACATAGCATTATAAACCAAAAAAAACAAACAAACAATTGGGTACCGAACACCGAATAAGGCTCAGGCCGATACCGAAGATTAAATGAGAAAAACCAAAAACAAAAGAAGCAATGGGGTGAGAGAGGCTCGAACTCTCGACCTCAGGATTACTCAGAAGCTATGAGACCTACGCGCTAGCCAACTGCGCCACCACCCCAATTGTTAACGATACACCATTTTTTAATATTCACTAATCTTTTCACCTTCAAAGAAGTCAAAAGGACAAGAAATTTTTTGCCCAAAACCACCATTGTTCTTGTTCTATCTTCTTACATGTCTAGGGTTTTCAGATCTTTCCCTCTTTCATCACCAAACAAACCCATTCAGGTACAATTTTTTGCCCTTCCCATAGTTTTTTTTTGTTTTTTGTGAAGTATCATTTTCTTGTTTATAGAATTCTTTCTTTGATTCAATGTGAAAAAAAGTAAGTAAAAGAGGCAAAGATGGAATCTTTATAGTCTTTTTTTCACTGGGAAGTTGCAAATGTTCACTTTCCTTAATTATGGGATGTGTTCGCTTAGTTTGATTAAAAATGCTTTAGGATTCTAATTAAGGGTCTTAATGGAACTTAAGAACAATAGGAGGTAGTGGTATGTTAGAGTAGTTTGTACTTTATGGTTTACAGTTTGTACCTTGTATTTTTGATAAACTAGCTCTTTTGGGAGAAGGGGAGCGTTGGAGCAACAATAAAGTTGTATCTTGTGTGACCTTTAGGCCACGGGTTTGGGTGGCGGAAGCAACCACTAATGCTTGCATTATGTTAGATTGTCTACATCACACCTCATTGGGGGTGTGGCCCTTCTTGTATTCTGCTAATGCGGGATGCCCTTTACTCTTTTGGTTGCTGCTTCATAGTTAAACTCAATCTTGTTTATGCTGTGATGTGACTTTCGCCCTTCTTATAGAGTTTATTTTTTCCCGAATTATCATCCTCTTGTTTGTTGCCTTGCTTTAATTGAACTTTCCCCTATTCACCCAATAAATGGAAAAGAAGTGGGAAGAAAGGGCAAAATGCAATCTTTTTTTTTTTGTTTTGGTTTCAATGGTAAGTTGCAATCTTTCACTCACCTTAGTTCTAACCTGAGTTTCTTTAGTTATTTAGGTCGTAGACGCTATGCATGTGCAAAAAAAAGGTTTCTTTTTCACAAACCATGAAATTTGGGAGTATTGAGTCTTGATTAGAAATGCTTTAGGATTCTATGAAGGGTCTTTTATGGAACTTTTCAAAACAAAACAAGAGAACAATGGGAGGTAGTGGTATGTGAGATTAATGTGTACTTTATGTTCTAGAGCTTGTACCTTGTATTTCCATTTTTTTTTTGGTGATATGCTTGCTCTTTTGGATTGCTGCTGTAGGCATTAAGCACTTCTACAAATTTAACTTCTTAGAATTACAATTATTAACTCAATCTTGTTTATGCTGTGATACGATTTTTCCCCTATTCTCAAACTTTATTTGCAAACTCTGGCTATTGATTTGACATTTTGTGCAAGTTGAACAAGCTCTTTAAGATTTGTGCAGTTGTATAGTGCTTTTATGATGTAAAGCAAATGGAAACTCTTATGATTATAACCTGAAAGATTTAATAACATCTGTATATAATGCTTCTGATATGGTAACTCATCTTGACACAATATATTTCCATAACTAGTGGACTACATGAATAGAAAATGTGTAACCGTATAATTTGTCTGTTACTTTCACTTGCTGTCAAGTGTCTAATTGGAGAAAGTGGTGCTATTTATATGTGTATATGCCAGTACAATTTAATTGATAGAAATTGTCCTGATTACTGGAATGAGGATAAAAAATGAGTTAACTAGATCTAGTAAAAGAAAAATGCTGTTTAGCTTGCATAACTGGACAGGAAGTAGTAAGAAGTTTTTGTCATTTGGCACCCAAGGTTGTGGCCTAGTGGTCACTAAAGTGGGTTGAGAACCATGAGGTGTCACATTCAAATCCTAGCAGAGACAGAAAAAACACTGGGTTATCCTCAGCATATCAATGTGGATGATGGAGGGAGCTAGAAACATTGAACTATGGAGGAAGGTACCTCTATACAAAAGCGAGTTAGAAAACACTATGATGTGAAAATAGTGGAAGAAGAAAGTATGATGTTTCTTTTTCTAGGGTCTATATCCTTGAGCTTAGATATATTTATTAGTTCCCCTGAAGTTTCAGTTTGAGTTATATATTACATAGGTTGTAGATTCAACATCGTGTATAAGCGTACAAGAACTAATATTTGAGAGTTACTTTGGTTTAAGTTTCCGGGTTCAAAACAGGTTCAATTTTCCCTTTTTCTCATCTTCGAGTAGAAAGCCCAGTTGCAAAATGTTCATAATGTGACAGTCTACACTACAGATCAATTGGCTTTGGCCTCTCACAACACTACAAAACAAACAGTAAAAGGTTATCTAATAATAGTATTCCCTGTGATAGTAAGAAAATGATGCTGTGGCCACTTCATTAAAGTAAAAGAAGATCCTAAAGGTTTACTTAACCAATAAATTTGTTGTGAAGCCTGTGATATCTTATCCGTTCTCTAGAGTAATCGAGGATATGCAAACGTCTTGTCAAAAACTTGGTAAATGTTTTGCTTCGACCCATTCAGATAGTTTGCTTGAAATGGTTGTAAAAGGGAAAAAATATGCTACACATGTCATAAGTTGTAGTTTTGTTATGATTTGTGTTTTTGTTTTGTTCTTGAAAACAATATTTAGGATATCAAAAACCATGCTTATGGTAATGAAGGAAATTGTTAGAATGAGTACTTTTTTACAATTTCAATTCAATGTGAGATGAACCATGCATTTTTAGGAGGGTGCTTTTTATTCTATAACTGTTGTGGGTATGCGTTATGATTACGTTTTATTAGTGATGTCACGGGGGGAAACTGCAAGAATGTACAAACAGTGCAAGTCCTTATTAGCTTGTTGGTGTAACATCTGCCCAATTCATGAGCATTAGAGATAAAGCTTTTCCGTCACCTATTATTTGATTTGGTCTTTCAAGAATATGAAGAGTGTCAACTGCTTATTCAAGGAAAGAGTAATTATGCAATTTACAGAAGATTTGGAGAGATACTTGTCAAATTATCTGGAGAAATGCTTGAGCATCTTCAAACAAAACTGCAATCAATATAAAATTGGTAGTCAGGAAGCAGCTTCTTTTGTGAAATGGGAATTTGTGAGCATTTTGTATAAATAAACAAATTTTTAAAAACTATGATAGGCAACTGTATTTTTTCCGGTGGTGAGTTTGGATTTCCGAATCATTATCATTTGAATATTTTAGTAATTGAGCTTCCATGTCTAAGTCAATGTGTTAACATTTAATTACAATCGGTATTCTGTGCAGCGATATGAAGCCGTACTGGCATGCAAGATAGTTTTGGTTAAGATGTGATGATTGATTTTTTTTTTTGTACAGGACGTGTCTGAAGTCTGCCTGCTAATGTGAATTAGTTCTCTGTAGACGCTGCTCAACAGTTGAAGAATTGCACACTACGTTAATGTTGGCCTCAAACGCTGCATTGCACATGAGGTTATTGTTTTGTAGTATTTTGCCAATTGGGATTTTTAAGGGGGAATAGTTCTCTCTAGCCATCATATCACTATGTTTTGCAAGATGAATGACTTAATCTATATTGAGGTGCGTCTGCGGAATTGATAATTTTCAGTTGAATATACCTAAGTGTATTCCTCTGAGGGTATTTATTCAGGTTCCCTAGGTGATTCTGTCGTTTTATGCTAAATAACAGATAAGATTGCCAAATACAGGTTTCTCGTGCAGACCATGAACCCAAGACTCCTGTACTCTTCTTGGAGTAGATAAATTCAGGGTTTCCGTATCTCCCGAGTTAAATTGATGTCTAAGTAAGCATTTTGTTGTTTGATTCACTATCTGAGATGGTTAAGACATCATATATTTATACTGTTCTGTGAGGTTGTTCCTTGGAATAAACAACTATTTCACCGTGTGAAGAAGTTTGTCTGTAAATGCTGGTTTCTTGTTAGTTTGAACTGATAATTGAACTTCAAGAATGGATGTTCCTGTGAAGAAACCTCAGGTTAATGGGCCGAAAACCTTAATCAGTGATGACATTTTGGCTAAGAGGCTAAAAAATCGGGAGCGTCAACGCAGATATAGAGAAAGGAAACGTCTTAAAGCTGATAATATGAAGGTGTTGGGCACAAACCAACTAGTTTCATTGCCAGTGGGGGTGCCCATGATTGTTTCTCCCCAGGATAGTTCACTGCTGGCGAATGTCGCTCCTCTGGACTCTTCGGTTCCAGTAGAAGTTGCTCCGCTGGACTCTTCAATGCCAGTGAATGTTGCTCCCCGGGCATATGTAATGCCAGTGGATGTTTCTTCCCGAGAGTCTGTCACCCGTGTTTACTCCGGGCGAAATTGGAAAAGGGATGCCCGAAAGGCCCATGTTGCCAGGCAGAATGAAGTTAGTACTAATAATATGGTTTCATCAGATTTAGCTTCAACTGGTGGAGGTCAAGCAACATTATTACCCCACGTTGAACAGTCAGATGTCGCAATGAGTAATGTTATTTCTTCACCTGTGACTGCATTGGAAAATAACGGAACACCCAAATCTATTCCCAGCAGAAGAAATTGGAAAGCAGAAGCTAGAAATAAGAAGAGCTGAAATTGTTGACAATAAGTTAAGGTCAAGTATGTCACAGAACATTATCAATTGTTAGCAGCCTTGTTGCAATATCATTATGTACAACATTAGAAGGACGGATGAACTTCGGATGATATTGTAAGTGTTCCGTTCCTTCTTTCCCCCTTCAATTTTGTTCTACTATACAAAACATCTTAGTTTTATACTACTATATTTTTAGACCTGCCATTCATACCCTTGCTGTTAGCAAATCATCTCGTGTTTGTCCTTGACCTTAAATGGAGATCCAACCTAAAGTGTTATGGAGGACAATTTTAAACCATAGTTATAAGTAGAGGAGTACATCTGTGCCTTTTTCGCAATGTTTTTTGACATGTGGATTCCACTCAATCTATGCTGGAGCTCCGTTAAAGTTGAGGGCAAGTATGAAACGATTAGGTAGCAGTAAGGATATGAATGGCCCGATAATATAACGGAGGGTAAATTTGGACCTTTTCCTGTTTCATTTCCGTAGGTTGGTGCTCTTCATGTTTGTTGTTTATTTTCATGCACTCACCAACTGATGCAATTGCAGATATCGGATGCCCGACTTACACGGCTTTTATTTGTTTGCTTCTGTTCAAACAATTGAGAAGATCCTGACCATTGCTAATGTCCAGGTTTTGTCAGGTATGAAATTTAGGTTTTAGAGTAACTTTAGGATACTCTTTTTCTGCTAGAACTTTAGTGGTTGGGACTTGCTTTCTTCCAACTAAACGAATCTTCATATGTTTCACGAGACTCTTGACCATGTGTTTCTGTACGTATCTGTTGTATGTGGATAACTCCACTTGTGGGATTACACTGGATATGTTGTTTTTTGTATCTGTTGTATGTGGATCGATCGTCCCTAGTCCGATTTGTCATTCAAGAAGAAACGATCTTTCATGATTTGTTGCATTCTTTGGTTATCTGTTCAAGAAACATTTCAGAGTTTGAATTTTGCATATGGTTCTGAGTTTGATTAAGGGAAGTATTTATTGATTATGATTGCACAAATACTATTATAGCATAAAATTAGGCTAGACCAAGCTTTATTCAGTGGCGGAGTCAGAATATTCATCAAAAAGATTTGTGTCGTTTAGGAGATTCAACAATCTATATATAAGTGCAACTCGGTCCACAAAGTATTCCATGTTCATGCAGGGTTTGAGGAAGGATCGCACCTCAAAGGGTGTGATGTAGACAACTTACCCTAATGTAGGCATTTGTGGTTGCTTCCACGACTTGAACCCATGACTTATCACGAGGAGACAAGTTTACTGTTGCTTCATTAGTTTAACATCTGCATTGATGTGTACATATATATATATACAAACAATGAAATGCAGAACATATGTAAATACAGAAAAAGATAATTAAATAGTTTCATCAAGTACATGTACATACATGATCATAATTACATATTAATCAACCCTTAATGACGCGTTAATCAACGCTTAATCACCTGCCTCAAATCCTCAAAACTCCAATCCCTTCTCATCCCGGGGCTCCTCGCCAATCTTGGCGAATCAGTCATGAACTCTATCGGACCACTATTATGAACCCTCCGAGAACCTTTTTTCGCGTTAGTTTCATGTCCCATTAGTGTTCGAGCCCTCGTTTTTTCAAATCTCGGCTTTTGTACCAAGTTCCCTGACCAGTTCCTCTCGATTCCGCCTGAAAAAAGGCGAAAATTCGACTTTCCATCAACATTTTTGAATTTTTCCCTTAGTTCCTCATGTGAATCTGTTCTTTTTAGAACTTGGCAGGTTAAGCAATTGAGAGTCATTGTTGTATAAAAGAAGAAGAAAATAAAAAGTTTAGAAGGTAATAAAAAATGCATAGGATATGTAAATAAAATAATGATATTGATAATTGAATTTTTGAGGATGTTGAGGTTAAGGGTGGATTTTTTTAAAAAAAAAATTCTCCCATTTTATTGGAGATGTTAAAGGTCTTGTGTTAATAATATCCATTCTTTTTTGGTTTATACCCTAAAATAAAGGTGAATCAATCTTTAGGGTAATGGCTATTGTTATTCTTATATACTATTAATTGAAAAATCCTCGAGAGCTAGTAATGCAAAACTTTTAAATTTGGAAATTCTACGGTTAAAACGCTTTTAATAAAGGCGATTCATAATAGGATTTGAAGTTGAAATCTATAATTAAGGATGAGGGAGTACTTGTGGAAATAATATTTTATAAAAGCAAAATCTTCATCTACACAAAAACAAAAAAAATATTCACTTACTCTACTACACTGGCTCCCCAGCTCTATACATTTATATTGTGGGCTCATTCATGAACTAAATAGAATTATATTTCTATTTACTAAATACTTTAGTTATACATTTGCTTATATAGAAAGAAAAAAAAGAGTTTAGTACAATTACTACAACAACATATTTAGGGTAATTTCGTAAGTGGGGCTTCAAAAAAGTTGTGTTTGCACATCCTTACCCTATCTTGTAAAAGTAGAAAAATTATTTTCGATAGACTTTTGACTCAAGTAAAACATATCAAAATTAAGTATGAAAAAAAAAAAAACAATAATACCACAAATAATATGATAATCAAAATAAAAAACAAAATTGGAGACAAAGATAATAAGGGAGTAATGATCATAATATAAATAAGAGAAATCAGACAATATTAAAATTATCGACTAACTTTCTATCCAAATTCTCGACTTTCACATCCTTCCCTCCGAAGTTTAGCGTAAACAAAGAAATGTGAACACTTTAATGGACCCATCAGAGTCTAAACAAAAAAAGTGAATACTATAGTAATATATATAAAAATGAATTTCACATGTAAAACATGATCATTTTAAAATTAATTTATTGTATTCAACAATTCAATATTGGTCTTCAAGTCAATTTAATCTGGTCAATAAGATTCGCTTTAAACTTGAGCTTTTTTTTTTCTTTTATATACACTAATAATTTTCTTTTTAATTAAAATATTACAGAGGGTGTTGTAGATGATTTTGTTCATATTTAATACAGTCATATTCTCGGTGTATATAGTAATATATACTGACAATATACAATCAGACTAATCTATAACAATTATTATTTATATTAACATATCATTATAATGATCAAAGTATTCTTTGAAATCAAATTTTCATATATTACGTCCTTTTTATAATAATATTTTGATATATTAGCAATAAAATATCGAAACAAAATAACTTTTAACTACAAGGTGGCTTGAAAAAAATGATAAATAAGCTGGCTGTAAAATTTAACTATTTATTATATATAAATTTAATATATTTTGTTACTAAAGTTGGCATATTTTTTTATTTTTTTTAAAAAACAAATCAAACTATACATAAAAGCTTTTATAAAACCTCAAACAAAACGAATCTTTGTCACATCTATCAATCTCTGTCTATTTGATTAACGAGCGTTAAATAATATTCATAAGACCAAAATAATATTCTAAAATTATTCTCGAGCGTTAAATTATATAAATTTTAATATGTATTTTTCAATTATATTGATACAAAAAACTTAAAATTTATAAAAAAATTAAATAGTATTTGTATATATAAACTTTAATTTTTAAAAATATAAAATTAAATTTAAAAATTAGTTAAGTTAATTTTTAAGAAATGAAATGTAACAATTATTTGGACGGTGGGAATATAACAAAGTTTGTGCCTAAATTAACTGCATTTAAAGGGCTTGTGTCACTTCAAATTCAAATGATACTCATGACATTATATTATAACAATAGTAATATATACTTTAAAATATTTCTTGGTCCAATGAATACAGCTATGATTTGACCAAATTCAATGAATTCTCTATAAATGAAAATGCAGCCCTACCCCTTTGTTTGGTGCTTTCTTCTGGACTAAAACAAACAACTAGTTACTAATATGGTGTGCATAGGTCGATTCGATTTTATATATTATCGATTCAATTTTTAATTTTTAAATACATCAAATTAATAATCAAATCAATAAGAGATTTTTTATCGATTTATCAGTTTGATTTCGGTTTCACCAATAAAAAATATTTATAAAATAAATATATGACTTCTCTAATAAATTTAACACAACGAGAAATTAAGAGGAATATAGTTCTTACTTTAGATTTTGATGTTTTGTATAATGTAAAGTTGTGAACTAAAAGTCACTTTGAAATGTGAATTGAAGGCTAAAGGATAAAGACAGTGACTAGTAAGGTATTGAAATTAATGTATAATATTTATGTACAAGTAAATTATTAGTCTTAATAGGTTATCGGTTTACCCAATAACCAAATATTAAAAACCAATACCGAATCAATAACCCGATAACTTTCTTTTATAAAACCATTAAAAACTCGTTAGTCCAATAACCCAATAACAATAAATCAATAACACTTTTTCGATTCGATTTATTGGTCGGTACGGTTTTGCACACACCCTAGTAATACATCCATTTATCTTTTATGTTTTTTCACTCAGTTTTTGATATCTGTATTAAATTTTGATTATATTTATATTTACATTAAAAAGTTTATTATTAAAAACTAATAGGTTTTCTAGTAAAGGCGATTGCATACTCCGTAACTAATATATCCATCATAATTAAATAAAGAACTTCTATCTCGACAAAAAGAAAAATTAAAAAAAATAATCTTGAACAATGAACTAGAAGTACATATTACTCAACCAATGATTAAATATATTAAGTGTTCATAAGCAAGTAGGGGCGGAACTAGAGGAGTGGAAGCGCATTCGTCCAAACTCTTTCGTCAGAAAATTATATTATATACACAAGGTAAAAAATTATTTATAACTAGTTAGTGTACAACTTGAAACTCAATGCATAATCTATCCGCCCCCTATCCTTCTCCACTAAAATGCAAAGGTGATAACTTGTTACATGGATTGAACTTATGACATGCGTCTAGTCCATACATCACATGTTACGTTTAATTAAAAAATGCTTAGTACTTTCTTCCAATTTGCCTAATGTAAAATGGCGAAAATAAGTGTCAGTAATCGAATGAAAATTGGTAATAACATGAAATTCATCAGCCACCAATTATTGGTTTCTCATAATTTATTTCCTGGATGAAGAATACAAAAGGATGAAGCTGCATAATATCTCTAATCTTACATGAACTAAAAAGCCTCAACTTGAGATCTCTAGTATTGGTTTCACATTTATATACAGAGAAGATACATTATACAGAGCTCACTACCGAGACAATTTCATCGCGATTCAGCAAATTTTGATGTCAATGCTATCGTAAGCTGCTCTTGAGCGTAAAGCCGGCTCCCCATTTTCACTGTCGCTTGTTGGATCATCAAATCATTCACAACGGAAACACTAGCGTGGTGCACGTCTAGGTCCAAGTCCTTGAGGGCTGCCATTAGCCTTGCAGCTGGATGATTCTTTTTACTACATTGTATACGAATCATAGCATCCCATCCAATCACCTTAACGTCAATGTCCATATCGACAATCTTGAGATCTTGATTCGATGGAGGGGAGGAGGAATAGTTTGATGATCCCTTGTTGGCTAATTCCTTCCTTAAAGATTCAATTTGGCTCCTCAACTCCTCTTTATCTAAATCTGAATTTTGAACCTTTGATTTCAACTCATTGATGTATGCAATTGCATCTCCAAGAAGTGATGCCTTGTCCATTTTCGAGACATTTGGGACTACAGCTCTGAGCGCGTAGAATCTTTGATTCAATTTCTCCCTCCTCTGTCTCTCCGCCTCCACGTGATTCAATGGCTCCTCCCTTCCATTGGCCGGTTTCCTCCCTCGCTTCCTCGGCTTCTTTTCAGGTTCTACAATGGCCTCCTTCACCACTGAGGCTTCGAGATCTGAGTGATCCGAATCCCCACCTCCACCAGACTTCCCCATTGTTGAAGTTGGCAAGATCACACCCGAAACAAACGAAAGCATTCCTTCTTCATTGTTTCCCCTTGATGCAAGTGACCTTTTCTTGTTATTGTTATTGTTCTTGTTCTTGTTCTCCTCCATGAGCCCGAGCCCGGTCCCAGGCCCGAACTGTGATTGGCCTGAAAACAAGCTTCCACTTCTCTTACTACTATCACCAAAATTCAATATCTCCCTGGTCTCCGGCTTACAAGAAATCGAAGAATTTCCATTTTTATTCCTAGTACTACTTCCATCAAATCCATAACCCGAAAAATTCAACTCCTTAGTGAAAAATCCTTGTGTTTGTTGAGAATGCTGCTGATTTTGAGTACCATTTTCAGAATTCTCATTTACAAACACAAGTTGCACATCCCTACTACTACTATTAATTAACGAATCCTTAGCTTCCACAACTGAGGAAGATGGATCCGTAAGCCAAAGGGCCGAAGGATCGGTCTCGGGATGCACAGCACACGAGCCCGAACCTGAGCCCGTAACAGAGCCCATATCAATATTGAAGTTAAACAAATATTTAACCTTGTTCATCAAATCCGAGCTTTCGAATATCAGCTCAGTCGAACCAAGCTCGACTACACCGTTAGCTGAAGGAATGCATACAATAGTCTGAAGCCCGAAACCTTGAGCTTGCCTGGCCCGTTCACATTGAGAACCAGCTAATTTCTCTGTTCCAGTAACCCAAATCGGGCTTGAACTGTACATCGCCAAGCCCGGAAGCCCGTTTCCATTAGCAAACGATTGGGTCATTGAAATCAGAAAAAACCATTCAGTATCCGTCACTTCTTCATCCACCGCATCATCACCTCCACTTCCGGCGCCGGCGGCCTGTACACCGGAAATTAATGAATTCAGCTCACGAAGCACCTTTTTT